AAATGGCAGTAAAGCTCTACATAAATGTATCCCACGCTGCTATAAACGCTATTAGGACACACATATTTCGCAAAAAAAGTGAAAATTGGTTGTTTTTGCGTTATTTAGAGCAAATTCGTTCTTCCAGTTTGAAACTTATTTTTAAAGCTGCGTCACGCCGATTTGCTACTTGCGTGTATTTCAGCATGAAGACTGTCTGTCTGTCTGTACCTGGGAGTACTTTATGACGTCTATGAGTGTGCTGCATTTATTCATGAGGAAGACTTGGTTCAAACTAATCAGCGCGTTCTATTGTGTATGCGGTGCAACTTCATTAATATGCATGCTAGCTTCTAAGACTGTTTGTACCTGATACAGTGTTCAGACAGCAGAGAGACGACACGTTATGTTGCCAAAACAAGTGGGAGAGGAAGAATTGTTTGGAGATACGGGTTGTCAGTGTTGCTTTTATAATTTGCTGCAAGGAAGGTTTTTATTTTCACTTTCCCGCTATGAGAGCGCAGCTGGACTCTCGTGTGGATTACAGTGCATGCAACGCTCAACAAAAATACGTGTCTAAGGTCGTATTCACACTATGTACAGTTGCCTCAAACCGGGCCAAAGCACGCTTGCCCCCCCCCCGCCACCCCTCATAAACAATCATTAAGCTCTCGTGCTGCAGGAATGAGGAGGTTTGCTGATGGTGCAGCTGTCGTGCAGTGAGGGGTTTGCATCTTTAATAAACTACGGCAGTTTGCTTTCATTGAACAGTAAGAATGATTAATAAATCCATATGAAACAGCCCCTTAAAAGTCACGTCTTGCTTTCAGTTTCGGGCTTTACGCGTTTTGCACACACACACACTACAAGCGTACATGGCCAAAGCACAAGTGAACCGCACTCTGGCACATCTCTTCCAACCGTGCCTGAGCCCGATTCAGCGCACTCACACTTCTCAAACAGGCCTGGGCACGGTACAGATAGCATAGTGTGAGTAGGCCCAAAGGAACATTTTTTTTACCCAAAAGCTTTTCGCAGCTGGAAACGGTGAAATCCGGTTTTGCCGCCCGTCTCCTTTTAAAAAAGGACACAAACAAGATATGCAGAAGAATGTTGAGAAGAACACGTTGACATCCATAGTAGGAACAAAAAATACTAAGGAAGTTGATGGCTGTTTTTTCCCCAGCATCCTTCAGAAAATCTTCCTTTGTGTTCAGCAGAAGAAAGAAACTCAAACAGGTTTTGAACAACAGTAAAGCATGAGGACATGATGACCTTTTCATTTTGGGGTGAACTGGTCCTTTAACGCATTTCAACCAGGGTTTGTACATTAACTTTGGTTCGTGGGGAAAAAGTGCCCAAACGATCAAGATAAGGTGCTCAAAACACTGCACAATTAGACTGAATTTATTATGACTGCTACATATTACTTAATATGTTGAAATCAAATGTGTTGGATTGCTTTAGGCATTGTTTGGAGCAAATCTGCCACCGGTTAGAGTCTTTTGAGTGGAGTATGTGACGGTCTGGTGTACAGTAATGTGGACGTGCACATTAGTGACCTAGTTATATGTTCTGCAGACTCCACAATCTCTCAGTGTCAATAAGGCAGAGGAGATATGATCACCACCGATTACTTGCTCTCCACATGTGAAGGTGGAAAATTGGAAATTCCATGGGATTTTACCCACCAAGCAATTTTGTGTTTAGACGTCTAATAGACATCTAAAAGTAGATTGCTAGGCTAAAGCAAGGCTGAATTGGGCTGTCATTGAGACATCTAAAGAATAGACCAAAACCAGACTACTCATCAAATACAGATCAGACCGACTTCACATATGTCTTCACTCATTTTTTATTTATTTTTTATTTGATGACTAGTCTAGTTTTGGGCTTTTCTTCGATGTCTATTAGATGTTCTTTGACAGCTCAAATTTAGCCTTGTTTTATGAAAGCCACCTGTTTTTAGACATCTATTAGACGCCTATTAGACATCTTGCTGGGCAGTTTGGGGGTTCAAGAATTAGGTTTAGAATTTATTGACCTTTGTGCAGATGCAAGATATATCATTTCAACACTGACATCGCAATGTGTGGGTGGATAACTCATTTAGCTGAGTTGGGTTTTTGACGATTTGAATAGTTTAATTCTACTAAATTCGTCTGAGAGTTTTCATAGCAATAGGTCTGGAAGCTCAAACCTGTTAGCATATTACATATAAACATGATTAGATTGTGTTGTTGTTTCAAGCAAAGGCGTTTGTACCAACTGCTGATCTCTTTTTATTTATTTATTTTTTTTTTTTACAATTGTAACCTATAGGTGAAATACACAGTATGTAAAAGGGGTGTAACAGATCACGGTTGATCCGTAATTCATACTGATCACAACCCATGATTCAAAACACGTGACTCTCGGATTAATAATTTTTTTTACCTGTACATTAATTCTAAATTTGCAACGATCGCAGATAGATGGCCTCTCGCTGACAAGAAAATGAACGAATGAATGTAAAATATAATGATGACGGAAGAAGTTATGGTGGGTTCTTCAGGATGTGGTGGGTTTTCCTAGAGTATTAAAGGTGTTTTCTGTCACTACTTGTTTAGTCTGCGTCAATGCATTTAGTGTAAGCTGCAAGATGGATCATTAAAAGATCAGGATCTCAACACCCACGCAACATAAATTATAGATGATGGTGATTTTGCATATGTTTATTAATCCTAAGAGATTCAGTCTGTAGTCTTTTGAGTTAGTTATGAAGTTACAAACAGTAAAATGACACAGAAGTACTGGGAGAACAGTTTATAGCTTAACTGATGTTTATAGGAAAGATTAAAATCACTGTCATGTGCAATCAACTTGATGCCCAAAAATCAAAGTTGTAGGCAGCAATTACATTATTTAACCATTAGGTTAAATAACAAGCCATCAAAATATGCCACTGAATAGTCCTTCAAGAATGATCATCTAGCAATGAAACATGAAGTTTTATGAGTGAATATCTCAAACATTATTGAAAATGAGACTAAAGATAAATATTTGTTATTTTTCTACTTTTAACGTTATCAGCAAAAGTAGGATAAACAGAAGTGTACGCGGTACTGAATATTTTATGATTTATTTTTATTCATCTGATTATTTCTTCATTTTATTTTATAAAATCGTGTCTTTCTAGTGTCTTACAGGTCTGTTATTGTGTTAAAGGTAAAGCAAATTACATTTGTCTCCTTCCCTCTTTGGCTGATCCGAAAAATGGTCCGATCAGTGACTTAAAAACTGTAATGTGATCCATACTGTGAGATTTGTGATCCGATACACCACTAATGTTTAATTGGGGAAAATAGCTAATTATTATTTATTTCAAATTAAAATGAGACTTAAATTAGAAATAGATTAATCTACGCACTAAAATAAAGGTACAAAAACTGTCACAGGGTTGAAAGAGAACATTTAAAAAAAGGCTTTAAAAAGATCTTTGAAAACATCACCTTTATTGTGTAATGTTGCTGTTTAAGCGTGAAGAATTTTCTCTGGATCAGTGAGCACTCGTTCTGAACTCCCACAAATGAACTTTTCCCAGTACTGCTGAAGTCTCTACTGGAGAACAAATATGCCACAGTGTAAATAACTCCTGCTGAAGGAGACCGGCTGTCTGGAGTTGAAGTTGAGTTGAGTTGCTAGAGGTTTCCTATAGTATACTTAGTAAGTTGGTTTATTATTTCACATGTTCGGAGTAAACTCAATTTTCAACCAAATTAAATGGCACACTAATTATAAAGTACAACAGGTAACCCTTCACCGTAAAGTCTCATCAGTAGTAGAGCTGCACGATTCTGGCTAAAATGAGAATCGCAATTTTTTTTTGCTTAAAACAAAAGATCACGATTTTCTCTCGATTCTGTAGATGTAAAATATAGGTTAATACATGTTGGCAATTATTATTGTTTTTTTCTTAAACAGCTGGTTTCTATTAATAATTCTATTCTTCTTATAATAATTCTGATGTTGCAATCTGTCATTGACAACATTATTGGACCATTTAATTCACGAATATTTGCGCTTAACAAACAAAAGTATTTATTTATAGACTAATTGATGTCTGTGCGTAAAGGTTTCCCTATCCAAGAGCGAAAGTGATCCATTATCTCTCATTCTCACGCAGTAGATGCTCTGTTTAACAGTTTTCTGTTAAAAAACTGTTTACTGTTTGCTTGTGAAATGCTGATTTTTTTCCACTTAGACTTACTTTGCGTCTTGTAAATAGCGAATGTGCTCTTGGCGTGACGCAGCTGGCACTTAAAGGGAATGGGAGATGAGACTCTAATTGGTTTATTCTCAAAACACACCTATAACTCATTAAGAAAATAAACTCAACCCTTTTAGACCATGCGCCACGGCACAAGGCAGATTTCCCGTCCTTAAATTAGCAAAAACACATTCTGACACGCCCTGAAAGCGTTTGCGCCCTGCGTTTTGCGCTCTGCACATGGACCCTCAAAATAGAGCCCAAAGATGTCCTGTCTATATTGTCCTGTTATGAGGAGGGGATATGGTCAAACAAAGCATGCAAATTAAGAGTTGTGGTCGGCAGGGTAAACTGCTTTTTCAGGCCTGGTCTCATCATGTTCTGGAGGCAGAAACCGCCTGACCAGTTGATCGAAAAGAGAAAACAATAGACACAACCATGCTGTGAAACTGACAATTTGCATTACATGTGCTTAGCCTGTAGTCAGAAAGACAAAAGGTTAATGTCCCTCCTAGCTGGGATGTTAATGAAATTATATAATTAAAACCAGAGAATATAACTTTTTAGTTATACGTAGATTACTGTTCATTTGAAATTAGATGATATAAATTTCCACAGTTGTCATAACGATCTAAAGTGGCAATAAGATCATATCTGTACTGCGCATTTACACCGTGGCATTATATTAAAATTATATTAAAAAACAAATTACAACAAAAATTCAGTAACAAGTAAAGCTGTTTAGATGTTGACTTTGTGTTTCTCTGATCAGAGATAAGAGACCTCTGCTGTCCTGCCAGTGCCATCGGCTACAATGAGTGCCAAATCGGCCCTCAACAAGGCGGTGTTCCTTCCCAACGACGAGCGGATGCTGGCCGCCGTGCAGGTCAAGAGGAGGACCAAGAAGAAGATCCCGTTTCTGGCTACAGGAGGTCAGGGGGAATACACCACCTTCATCTGCTTATCAGGTGACACTCACAGCAACACCAACAGCATTGATACTGATTTAGGGCTCTGTGGTCTTATAGATTTATTCTATAGTTCAGTTTTAATGGTATTTTATCTGTCATATGCTCCGCCCCCTCTTCCTGTTCAGCTCCAATTTAGTCAAACATCAAATAAAAAAGAAATTGCTCAAGATTTCAAAGCACTTCAAGACCTTTAAGTGTGTTAGCAGCTGGCTGCATGTCAGATGTTTTCTCAGTATGTGTGTGTGTGTGTGTGTGTGTGTGTGTGTGTGTGTGAGATGATTAATATGGTCTGCTGTGCTGTGATTGATAACACCTGTGTTCCCGAGGCTGTCTGTGATCAACATGATGAACACATCTCTGGACTGAGGCGTTTCCTGCGAGTCTCGCTCCAGCCGTGAATCACACACACACACACCGTCACAGCGGACCCATGAAACGCCAGACCTGTGTGTGTGTGTGTGTGTGTGTGTGTGTGTGTTTTTGTGGACTCCCATTCAGAGGAAGAAGCGCAGGAGTAAATGAGCAACAGGAGAGATTGAGGAACTCCCTGTCATTCATATGTATCAGGGCTGTTATTAGATCACTGCATAAAGCAGATAAACAAGACTTGCTGGAAATATCGGGATCATGAAATGACGGTGGGAGAAAAGGCAGCGATATCAGTATGGTTGAAAACACTAATATTCAATAAATAGTCGAGCGTATTACCAGGGCCAGACGGAATCTGCGGACGTTTTTTGCTATTTCTGCTGAGAATTTTGGTAAAAATCTGCGGATTTCTGCTGAATTATTTTGGAAGTATCCAGTGGAGTATCATAACTAAAACCTTAATATATTAACTCAAAAGTAATAAATTACTGAATAAAAATGGAATAAAATCAGATTTACACATTTACTCAAGTAAATAAACAGAATTAATGATGGGCTAAAAATCTGCGGAATTTTGTGGAAAATCTGTGGAAAATCTGCGGAATTCTGCGCGCGCAGATTCCGTGTGGGCCTACTTATTACTGATAATAAGAAATATTGTTATAGTTCTTAACTGTTAACTGGAGGCTCTGTTGCTGCACTGTAATAAAATGCATTTTATTTAGTTAGTAAATAGTAATACTGATAAATAATTATAATAATAATAATAGTAATTATTATTATTATTACTATTATACAAGTTAATGATACAATTATAATAAGGCAAGGTAAGTTTATTTATATAGCACATTTCTTACACAATGGTAAATCAAAGTGTCTTACAGTACATAAACAGGAATAAAAGAGACAAGAAAATAAAAACAACAGAGTAAAAGTGTTAAAAACGGTTATAAAAGAATCAAAACGAAAAGAAAGACACAATAGTGCGATCTGTCGGATGTAGCACAGTGCTCATTCAGTAAAGGCACAGTTAAACAGATGTGTTTTCAGTTTTGATTTGGACAGGCCAGCGGCCTCATGTATCAAGGCTGCGTACACACAAAAACTTTGCATGCGCCAGGTTTCGTGCTCAGAATCGCTCACGTTTGGATTTACTAACGATGAACTGAACGTGGGAATGTGCGCAGCTCCACGCCAGCTTCATGGCTGGCGTACGCACATTTTTTGTGCGTGTCTGTTTTATTTCCGTTGGCGACTCCTAGAGGCAGTTGTGTTAAATTGCTCTCTACAAAGTGTCTGAGCCCTGCAATGGCAGCTGTATGAGACGGGTTCATCTAGCAGGTATATAAGGTTTCCATACCATACAGTTGACCAGCCAAACATTAAAGCACAATTTGCAGCGGTCGCCTGTTTTCCCATTGTAATGGGAGCGATCTACTGCACACACATTGCTATAAAGACACTATCTGAAGATGAATTTGCATGCGTGAATCATAAACATTTCCATTCAATAAATGTGCAAATAAAATATGATGCACAGACTTATTAATGATTCCTACTTGTCTTTCTCGTGATAAATAGTAGCAAAATCTGATATGTAGCGGGGGAAAAAAAGAAGAAAGAGTTCATCAGACGCTGGATTCGAACCGAGTTCATGCTCGAACGTGTCAAAACATGTTGACATGCGTTTTACGAGCTGCGCCACTGAGACTATTAAGGGTACAACAACATTTTACACCTATAAATCACACTATTTCTCTTTTAATCAGTGCGATTTTCAGACCCAACTGTGTTAACCGCATCAGCTAAACTCTCCCACTCTATTTTTTTCTTTTGTTGTTAATTCCGGAGGACAAACTTGCAAATAACACCACTTTTCTCCGGTCTACCTCCGAAAGCAGCACCTACAGTTCACATTCTGTTCAAAGTTTCTCTTTTTGCTTGCTTTTGCCGTTGCTTTTTCATTGGGTTTTGCCAAAGTAGAGTCATTAGCATATTCATACGGGGGAGGAGGCAGGGAGGGGTTTGTGCTCGTGCATGTTGCGCTCAGTTTCACGTTCATTCAGATGTACAAAAGAATATGCGTGGGATTCAGCGTACGCAGTGTTTCATACATCTGAATTTTTTTCTGCGTGTTTTAGTATGATTTCCAGGCAAGTCTTCGTACATGAGGCCCCTGATGTTGGAGCACATTTGATCAACTCTGGAAGCTGATTCCAGCAGCGGAGCCGATTCACCCGGCTTTGACTGAACTCTTTTAATTTCTAGTTTGTATGATCCTAAAGATCTGATTGATCTATTAAGTTTGTATTCAGTAAGCATATCTGTAATGCATTGAGGTCCTAGGGCATTTAGTGATTTATAGGCAAGTAAAATACTTTAAAATCTATTCTGAATGTAATTGGGAGCCAGTGTAGAGATCAGAGGACAGGTGTGATGTGCTCTGATTTCAGAATCCTGGCCGCAGCGTTCTGGATGAGCTGTAACTGTCTGACTGTGTTTATTGGATGGCCAATGCGGAGGCCAATACAGTAATCCATCCTGCTGCTGATAAAAGCATGAACAAGCTTCTCTAAGTATGATAGTATGCTGATTTACTGACTGCTTTGACATGACTATTGAAAGTCAGATCTAATTGCAGAATCGCACCAAGATTCTTGACCTTATATTTTGTTGTTTGACCCTTAAGCTAGTTGCTCCACGCAGCGCCATGCATTTTAGAAGTCTTAGCATAGGTTTCTATCAGGGTACACACACCAGCGCTGCAAGGAGGCGGCTGTCCACTGCCCCAGCCACGACTCAGGACACTGTTCATATTTCTGCCGTACCACAGAGAGCCATCTGATTAGTTTCATTTTTAAATACCATGCGAATGTGCGCATTTTGGATCCAAGGTGCACATTCACCTTGAGAAGCTCATCTCTGTTCCCAAACGCAATGGCTTCAGTTTTCTCTTTGTTTAACTGAAGAGAGTTTTGGCACATCAAACTGTTCATTTCATAAATATTATTCAACAGTTGTTCAGATTTTTCTTTAGTAAATATCGAATACCTTTTTTTTGTACGTTCATAAATTCATTAGTAAAAATAACAGTGTCATTTATACAGTATTTATTCAAATATTGATGATTAAATATTTAATAATGTGTATTATTATTATTATTATTATTATTATTATTATTATTATTAATAGTATTAAACCTAGTTCACTGGCTTACTGATTGCATTAGTAAGTGTTTAACAATTATTATTATTACTATACAACTTTTCATATTAAATTTTCAATATTTATTTAAACATTAGATTTAGTAAATATTTAATAACCTTTATTGTTATAATTATTATTTTATTATTAATCATTAACAAGTTCATGGTTAAAATGTGAGATTGTTTAATAACATTAGCACAAAAATATTACAGTTATTACAATATTATTATTATTGTTATTATTATTAAACAGAGTTTTTTGGTAGAAATGTATGTCAAATATTTATTAAAACATCTCATTGGAAATTGTTTAATAATGATTATGGATTTTATTCATATTATAATACATATGTTATCGCATAAACTACATTTTAGTAATTGTTTATAGACTATTATTTCCATTGTTGTTATTATAATTATTAATATCAATATATATTATATAACCTTTAACAAGTTTATAATTAAGGTTAATAATAAATATTATTTAGTATACATTAAAACTTCACTCTAATAAAAAACACTCATTATGTAGTCAAAACTTCACTTACATCCAGTCCTAATCAAATAATTTTTCTGGAATGTTGTGAATGAATGTCGCTGTGTATCAGTAAACAGGCTCACAATATAAAGTCGCTGACTGTGAAGAAGAAAAACGTGATCTGAGATTGTTTTTGTTTGTTTGATCATGTGATTGTCTCTCTGTAGTTTTTGCTGGTGCTTCACTTTAATCCCGTCACAGACGCAGAAACCTCCACTTCCTTGTTTAGGCAGTCTGATTAATCTAGCAGATTTTCTACTAAAGATAGAGGAGTTGTTGAACCGGTCACATTTTCTACATTTTTGTCTGCAGAATTCCTGACCACACACATTTCTAGTGTGTTAGAAGCTTTGAGTATGCAGTACATTTAACTTAATGTTAAGTTAGGAAAAAAAAGGTTCACTTACATTTAACCTTCCTGTCCTGTTCAGGTCAAATCTGACCGATTTACAACTTAAATCACTCATAAATATTGTGTTTTACATCTGATTGCTGCAAGGCCTTATAATATCCTCCACACTATGCATTTGAACAAATAAAAGTGATGGTCACCTCTTTCATTGAATTTTGAGTGTTTAAATCATTGTTACACTTGTTGTGTTCCCAGTCAAAAGTGACCACCATAGGAAATGAATAGGTATCCAGACTATATTCCAACCCAAGCTCATTCTGGAAACGTAGCCCTGCGGATGTTTCTGGAGACAGCGGTTTAGTTTTTTTAGAGCGAACGCTTCGGGGTGGTGTGGCGCCGCTCCGCTCCTCCTCTTCGCATTCGCTGGCCGATGGCTCTCCTCCGAGTGGAGGGCTTTCCCGATGCAACCAGTTTGTCCGCTTAGCTCACAGCGTTGCGTCGGCGGAGCGGAGGCCCCGTAGGAGGAGGAGCC